GTTTCAATTACCTCGGTTTAGGAATCTTTAGTTTTATTTATAGGAAAAAACGATGCATCATTGCCCTGTCAGCATTTTCTCCAACAGACCGGATGCCATTGAGTAATAACAGTTTTTTTCAGACGTCAATATCTGTTTTAATGTCTGTCCTCTTTCTGCTGCCTTCCCTCAGGAGTCCTTCAATAATGTCAAACAGTGGCTACAGGAAATCGACCGCTACGCCAGCGAGAACGTCAACAAGCTGCTAGTAGGCAACAAGTGTGACCTCACAACGAAGAAAGTCGTGGATTACACCATAGGTAAGGTGAGGCAATGCACAAAGCTGAGACTCTTTGTCCAGATATCTGTATCCAAAGGGGAAATGAGATAAGTACGAGCTGACTGAGCAGCAGTTCGGTCGGTTTTCTTTAGCCATGTACTCTCACTGTGATAGCCTTGATAATGTGATGAGCTCAGTCTGTATTGTGAGGTTTGAAAGAGGAATCATGAGCTTGTACTCGACTGAGCATCCAGCAGCTGGTCAGACAGCTGGCTGAACTGTGGGGAATTATTAAGAAGTTCAATATTTTTGCCATTTTCAACCATATTTGGGTTGATATTGATATTTTATGCGGTTATCGACTTTTTTATTGATTTTAATTCATTTAATGGTCAGACCAAGTCTTTTTAAATCTCTTTTTCTGAAAATATACAATTAATACAGACGAGTTAACCCAATCAAGCCATCATGTCTCAGGTCACCAGTCTTAAACTTCAGAATCAAAGTGTTTTTAACCGTGTCTAGCTGAAAGTCGTCAACTTAACAGCGACTCAGGTCAACTTGAGTCAAAGTCAAAATGATTCAACAGTTCTGATATGGGTCTAACACCCTGAGGTTATTCAGCGCACAAAATGACCGAACCATTTAAATGAATATTTCCTGTAAATAACCAGAAATTCTCTGTATGCTACCTAGACTCTTAACTCCACCTCACACAGCTGTTTGCTTTACAACTACAACTAAGAAAACTAGTAACTTAAAAGACTGCACGTTTTGGTTGAAAGCTATGGAAAAAGCAAGCAAGTGGGACTTTTTATAAAATGGACACTAAAGATTTTCCTTGGTCAGAGAATATTTAACTCAAGTTAAATTGAAAATCACCATGAAAACTGAACGGCCTCATAAGCAGCAGTTATTGAGTTTTTAGTGTTACACAATCATCCTTAGCAGATCGTATGTTTTCAAGATATTTCATTTATTTAATATCCGTTGATTTTTATCTCTTCGATCTCCAGGAATTTGCCGAAAACATGGGCATCCCCTTCGTGGAGACCAGCGCCAAGAGCGCCACCAACGTGGATCAAGCCTTCATGAACATGGCGGCGGAGATCAAGAAGAGGATGGGCCCCGGGGCCACGGCCAGGTCCTCGGAGAAGTCCAACGTGAAGATCCAAAGCAAGCCGGTCAACACCTCGTCCGGAGGCTGCTGCTGACCCCCATATCTGTGATGGTTTCATCTGAATAATACCCAGAGAGAGACATTTTGAAACAGCCTATCTCCTCGCTGATGGTCTTGTTTGCTCATATCATGTCATGTAAAGGCATCAGCACTATATTGATTGTTTCATAAACACAAGATGAGAAATCTGAGTTCTTCTTTCACCACTGCTTAAAAGTTGAGTAAAAGTAGAAGTAGCAGGAGGAATACTCTGTTACAGTAAAAGTCCTGCATTCAAAATGTAACTCAAGTAAAAGTATTATCATCAAAATATAGTTAAAGTACCAAAAGTAAAAGTATTCATTGTGCAGATTGATCCATTTCAGAATAATCTATATGATATGTTTTATAATGATTGATCATGAAAGTGTTCTCAAAGCAGGTAAAGGTGCAGCTAGTTTGAATGACTTTGTATACTGCAGGGTAGCTTGTGAAAGTAAACTAAAGTCTGATTTAACACTTGATTATATTTCACATCATTCATCAGAATCTGAAAATTAACTAAAGGTACTAAATAAATGTACTGGGGTCAAATGTATTATTTATATTTAGCTCTGAATTGTATTGGAGTAGTACAAAGTAGCACAGATTAGAAGTACCTCAAAATGGTATTTAAGTACAATACTTTAGTGAATATTCTTAGTTACTTTACACCACTTAACAGCAGTTAAACTTCACTTCACTTTTTACACTTTTATTCAGAAGTTATAGCCTTCTAAAAATATTTGATGTCTCCAGATTTACAAAATAAAGATTTTGCTGATTTGACTTTCAATTAATTGTTAATGGGGGTTTGGACTGATCTCTGAATCATTTGAGAGTTTTATTATAATCGTGACACCATATATTTTTCAAAAATAATCATCAGATTAATCCATACATTTAAATGATAATTTATCAGATTTATCTGAACTGTAAAATTATACTTTTAGCCTATATTTAAGCCATCTTTCAGATTTTTAGTTAGGATTTTTACTTTTTATTGCAGGACTTTCTGCACTAAAAGTGAAGTATTAGTACATTTAAATAATATCCTACTTGTTTTGTGTTAGCTGCAATTTGGCCCTTCAATAGCGTTTTATTGGTCAGATAGTTTCAAGATTGTTATCTTTACGGTGTTCATATTTCATAATTGTTTATTTTCTACTCTTTTTAATTTCTAATAATGTGCAAGGCCTTGTTTTACACTGCTGTTAGGAAAACATGTCCCAATTTGGGATCTATGAAGTACATCTTATCTTATCTAATGTTATTTACTGACTAACTTGATCTGATTAATTGTTCCACCATGGAAATACAAAAAACTGTAAATGGTACGCCTGACTGCAGTGTAAACGCCCATTGCCACAAGACTACACTACCCATGATTCCCATCGTGTGGTATTTCCGGGTAGGTATTGCTGACAGCCATATTTGATTCGATTATGCTGTTCTGCCTGCGACAACCAGTTTAGCCAGTTCTTGACACACAAAAAAAACAGAAAACGGTGTGTTTTTCTCCACTACGTCGCCAGCTCTGAGGTATTCCGCGACGAAGTCCTGCTGCTTTCATAGTAACAACAGTTTATAACCCGTAGTCAACGATGAATCCCGAATAGTAAGTGGGCATTTTTATTGTCGATTATGACAGGTCCGGTTGAGCTGTCAGCTTAGCCGGGGAAGCTATCGTTAGCTTAGCCTGGGAAGCTAACGTTAGCTTCCCAGGCTAACCGTACAAAATGAACGTCAGCTGCTTTGTCTTCGTTGCTATGCTAGCGAGTTATGGGGCTGTGGTTTTTTTCGTGTACGCACTACCAAATGACAGCGTTGATATTTACCACAAAACTCACGCTTGTCAGCATTTTCTGTTCAATATAACACCAGCTAAATCTAGGTATTATTTGTTTTCGGTCAACAATGTTTGTTAGCTCACTTTATGTTAACTGAAATGGGTGTAGCATTGTTAGCTAGTTGGCTAGCTAGCTCACGGCGTAGCTACGTAACGTTACTGTTGGGGATTTTGTTATTGTAATGGTTAGGGCACATAGTGAGAGTTTGATAGTCCACAGTCCTCTCAGTAAACATGAAACTACTCGATTTATCTTAACTGCTTTGGTGTAGGTTTTATGGGTAGTTTCAGGGTTATCCACCGCAAACAGGAAGTCACTGAATGTGATCCTGATGATGTGGAGTTAGTTAGGTAATACCAGTCTCTGTTACTTCACTACAGCAGAGGTGGAAGAAGTACTCAGATTATTTACTTACTCTACAGTCTTAAAATACTCAGTTACAAGTAAATGTTCTGCATTCAAACGTGTACTTAATTAAAAGTAACAATACTACAGTGTAGAAATACCGGGGGTGATTTAACTTAGTACATTTAGTTACTCAAGTACTGTCCTTGAGTATAATGTTCAGGTATTTGTTTTTTACTGAGCATTTTCAAATGATACTACTTTACACTGTGTATTTTGTAGTCAAATGTTGTACTTTTGACTCCACTACATTTATTGTACATACTTAGTTACTAGTAGTTACTTAGCAGATTTAGGTTAATACAAAATATAAATAGATGCATACCTTATTATAGGCTAAGCTACCTAGTAGTGTGTAAAGCAATTCAAGTAAACCCCATGGTTAACCAAGTACAACGTTGAAGTGATGAAAACATGAATGCACCAACAGTTTTAATACAATCATAAAAAATATCTGGTGTTTTAAATGGGTCATTCTGCATTAAGATTACTTTTCGTTCCTAAAGTTTATTTTTAGGCCAGTACTTTTACTTAAGTAACATTTTGATTGCAGTACTTTGACTGTAACCATAGGCGGAAGAAGTAGTACATCTTGTACTTGTGTGTAGGAATACTCTGTTTCAGTAAATGTCCTGCATTCAAAAAGTTACTCAAGTCAAATTACAAAAGTATTCACATCAAAATATACTTAAAGTACTAAAAGTAGTCATTGTGCAGATTGGCCCATTTCCGAATAATATATATGATATGTTTTATAATGACTGATCATTAAAGTGTTCTCAAAGCTGGTAAAGGTGCAGCTAGTTTGAATGACTTTGTAGCTTGTGAATTTACTCCAGGTGGAACTAAAGTCTGATTTAACACTTGATTATATTTCACATTATTCATCCACATCTGTAACTAAAGGGATTAAATACATGTAGTGGAGTAAAAGTACACCATGTTCCTCTGACTTATGTTTACTGCCAACCTAAAAGTAACTCAAAAATAGTAATCAATAATGTATTGAAAAGTTATTTGGCTGATTATTTTATATTGGCTCAGCCAGGTTATATGGGGTGCCCAGTTTACTTACAGATGATTTACTCATTTTGAAATATTAAACTTAGTTTTATTTATTTTTTATTTGTCATCCTCGTGTAGAATGCTATTATGAAACACACATTTGGTTGTTTATAGCATAAAGAACATCTGATATAATGTGAGGTAGGGAAATAATCATTTGAGTATAAGTATGTGTATATAAATATGTAATTTACAACAGTTGTAAGATGCTCGAAAATGCTTGAAATGTGCTTGAATTTAACTTTGGAAAAGGTGTAAGAACCCTGTATAAAGAGAGACTTGGCTTTTATAATTTGGAATTGAAAATTGCACGACAGTCTTTCTTCTCTGACATCATTGCCAAAAACAAAAACAACGCACGTGCGTTGTTCGCTACCGTTGACAGACTTACAAACCCCCCAGTGTCAGTAGCCTCGGATTTTCTATCCACCAGGGCCTGCAATGAATTTGATTCCTTCTTCACTGACAACATTTAGAAAATTAGACATTACATTACATTACATTGCATTTAGCTGACGCTTTTATCCAAAGCGACTTACAATAACTACATTCGACCAAGAAGATACAAACTTGAAGAAAACAGAATCATATAAGTACATCAGGTTTCATAGAGCCAAACATTTCAAGTGCTACTCAACTGGCTTTAGATAAGCCAGTCCTTTATTAGTATAGTGCTTTGTTAGTAATTCTATCGCTCGAAGTGGAGTCTAAAGAGATGAGTTTTCAGTCTGCGCCGGAAGATGTGTAAGCTTTCTGCTGTCCTGATTTCAATGGGGAGCTCATTCCACCATTTTGGAGCCAGGATAGCAAACCCACGTGTTTTTGCTGATGGGAACTTGGATCCCCCTCGCAGTGCGGGTGCAGCGAGCTGTTTGGCTGATGCAGAGCGGAGTGCACGTGCTGGGGTGTACGGTTTAACCATGTCCTGGATGTAGGAAGGGCCAGATCCATTCGCAGCATGGTACGCAAGTACCAGT